TTTGAGATGGAGTCTTGCTCTGTCACCAGGTTGGAGTGAGGTGGCACAATCTCTTCACTGCAGCCTCTGCCCCCCAGGTTCAAGCAATTCTCCTGCCTCAGTCTCCTGAGTAGCTGAGGCTACAGGTGAGTGCCACAATGCCCGGCTAATTTTTGTACTCACTTAGTAGAGATGGGGTTTCACTGTGTTGGCCAGGATGGTCTCAATCTTTTGACCTCATGATCCACCCGCCTCGGCCTCCCAAAGTGCTGGGATTACAGGCGCGAGCCGCAACGCCCAAGACTACATTTTCTTTTCTTCTAAAGAGCCCAGGCCTTGCTATGTTGTGCAGGCTGGAGTGCAGTGAGCATTTACAGGTACAATGTCACTAATGATCTGTATGTGAGTTTTGACCAGCTTGATTTCTGACCAGGCATCTGGTTTACCCTCTTTAGGCAACCTGGTGGTCCCCACTTCCTGGGACACCACCATACTGATGTTAACTTAGTGTGGCTACCTGACTGACATATAGCACTGCAACCCAAAATTGGGTACAAGTGATCCTTCCGCTGTACCCTCCGAAGTAGCTCTTAACTACAGGCACAAACTACTGGTGCCTGGCAAAACATTTCTGAACTGTGAACATATTTTTAGGAGGGCATGTAATTAGCACACAAAGAATAGACTAAGCTAGATGGGGTGGCTCACACCTATAATCCCGACACTTTAGGGGGCAAGGTGGAAAGATTAGTTCAGGAGTTCGAGATAGCCTGAGCAACAGTGGACCCTGTTTTCCCCTGTATCTGGGGAAAAGAGGGAAAGAAAGAAAAAAACAACTTTCGCCAGGCGCAGTGGTTCACGCCTGTAATCTTAGCACTTTGGGAGGCTGAGATGGGTGGATCACCTGAGGTCAGGAGTTCAAGACCAGCCTGGCCAACATGGTGAACCCCCATCTTTAAAAAAAAAAAAAAAAAAAAACACTTTCCTGGGTGTGATGGCACATTCCTATAATCCTAGTTATTTGGGAAGCTGAGGTGGGTGGGAGGATCGCTTAAGGCCAGGTCGAGGGTGCAGTGAGCCAAGTTCACACTACTGCACTCTACCATGAGTGGCACAAGACTATCTCCAAAACAAAAGATTAGGCCAGTGTGGTGGCTTATGCCTATAGTCTCAGCACTTTCGGAGGCTGAGGTGGGCAGATCGCTTGAGCCCCGAAGTTCAAGAACAGGCTGGGCAACACTGTGATACCCATTCTCTACAAAGAATACAAAAATTAGCCAGGTGTGGTGGCATACCCCTGTAGTCTCAGATACTTGGGGGGCTAAGAGGATCACTTGATCCTGTGAACCTGAGGCTGCAGCGAGCCAAGGTTGTACCACTGCAATCCAGCCTGGGTGACAAAGAGAGACCCTGTCTCGGGGGGGGGGAATGTTCAGAGAATAAACTGGTAGTTTATTTAATTTCCTAAGTCCATTTGAGAACAAACTACCTTTAAAGATTGATATACTTTATAAATACTTAA